GATCCTTGGGGTATTTTGACGAAAGTATGCCACAGACGTGCTATTAAGACCTCTGGGAACTGCTGTAAATTGCGAAAGGAGGGGAAAAAAATGCTTCTGTCTCCTTCAAAGCAGCTGCTGTGGGTGAATTAGTGCCAATTGATGGAGGCGCTCCGCGCTTTTCTGCTTTTGATGTTGTTGGGTGCGACTCCCCGCCGAGGTGGTTCTGTTTGTCTTACGGCCCATTCGGCGATTTCCCCGCCGCCTAACAATGCAAATAATTCGCCGCTGCATGCTCGCTCGCCTCCAGACTTAATTGAGGGATCTTTTTATGTTTTCAATTAGCGCCTCCTTTTTCTTCTTCTTACACGGCTGACATTTGTTCTAATTGCGCGAGGAGCGCGCCGGCGTCACAACAACAACCTTTATTTTCCCGTCAATCTCCTGCCACGGGGGAGGAGGCGTGAGAAGGAGTTTACGAATAATTACAGCCGTGGCTGGGGAAGAAATAAAAACATTTCTCTTGTCTTTCTGCCCGGAAAAAAAAAAAACGACACAGAAATTCCTCTCAGGATATAATTACGCCAAATATCGCCGCCCGAGAGGCGGCATCGTCGGCTTTTTTTATTCTGGCTCGTTAGAGCGCCGCTTTCTTCACGATGAGCTAACTTCAAATCAAAGCTCGACGCCGAGCGTGACTTTGCTTTGAAACACCCGGATCTCCACACATTTTACAACTCGGAATTGATCGCATGCCGACTACCCCGATGAGAACCAAACATGATGGCCAGCGATCGTGAATCTCGAAGATTAGCCTGAGCGATTATTTTCAGTTTTCTTCTGTAAGAACGATTTCCCCATCCCTCAATCTGCCCTGCGTCAACCATCGTGTTAAAACCGGTTCAGTATTTACGATGATAAATCCTGGATGGGATTGTGACACAAAACAGACAATCGGGCTAAATTTGAGCACGTTCTCCCGCTGATCCAATCTGAAAAAACATCCGTGGACAATCGTCGTAAATGTTAAAGGTGCTGAATATTTATGATGCCAAATGCGGTTATTGCAAATGCAATAAGTTTCATCCTCCACAAATAGTCTCTCTACTTCTTTGGAATCTCTACACAGTCTGGAAGCACCTTCGGAGAGCAGGGCAGGGGAAAGTGAAAGGAGAAGTGGCAGTAAAACAGACCAAAATCCAGGTGCAAGATGGTGAGGCAGGGAAATCGACTCGTTGCCTACTTGGTGTGGTTCAACCAAGCGCGAGAGTTGAGAAATCGGAAGATCTCCAAAACAGCGTTTCTCACATGCTAACAATTGACGTAAAAACATCAAAAATGATTCCGTTTGAGCAAATTGTCCCGAGTGGCTCTTGTTATGGCACTGGAAAGAGGCGAAAGCCTGTGCTCAACGCATCCCCCTGGGTGGAAGTGGCAGATGCACAAACACACACATACACGCGCGCAACGTAAAAGCCAGAAGCTCTCCAGAGCGGCGTCTCAAGCGGAGCCAAAAAGCCAAGCTGGGTAATCCCAGGAGGAGCTCAACACAACCACGGACTCGCCTTCAAATCCTGTTGGCTCCCAACATCCATATGACAACTGGAGGCGAGCAGGAGGTAGACGGGGTAAGTGGGGGTAGGGGGTGGAGGGTCGACCGGGGGGGTGCTGGGGGGTGTTTGGCTTGGGTGTTGATACAGAAAACGGGAAGAGGAACATGGCGCCGATCAGGCCCAGTGCTGTTTTCCCGGTGTTGTTAAGTTTTTAGCTGACTGCGGGCGGCTGCTGCCAACACGATAAATGATAAATTTCTAGAGGCTGTTCCACTCATCGCATGTCGCTTTACGGGTTATCGATTCTGACCCAGCTTTTGGGGTTCAATGAATGACCTCAAAAGTTGGGTCAAACCCTCTTTGACCATATTGGGTTATTTTTGACCCAACTGTAAAATGAAGCGCCCCAAAAGTTGTCTCAGTACCCCTTTGACCCATATTGGGTTTTTTTTTTTTAGGGTGTCTTGACTTGAAGCAGATGAACAATGCATCAAAAAAATGTTTTTCCCTTTAAATCAGTAAATTATAGCCATAAACATAAAAAAAATATATATATTGTAAGACTTCTTTGGAAAATATCCATTACGTATGGAAAGAGTCCGTCGCATTGCTTTTCTTGATGACGTCATGTCAAGCTGACTCGCAATATGTTCTGTAGCCGTGCCTAACGAACTCTCGGAAAAATCTGTTCTTCTTGACGAGAAATAAAGGAAACACGATTCTTTGCGATGCGGTTCATCATCGGAAAGTTGGATTTGACAAACACAGGAACTTGTCGTATCCGTCTCACCGTTCTCGCTCGACTGACGCAATCATTTCAATACAGCTTTAGATTGCTATATTTTTTTTTTCTTCTCATTGGTCCACGTGGGATTTGTTGCACTTCCTCCCGCTCGGAGCCCACCTGGGGCGCACTCACGCGTCTTTTACCGAGCAACTATGAGACAATCCACTCCACTGGCCCGCTGACTGACATGCAATTGCACGTTCGGCTTTGGAGATAGATTAGCTGTAGAAGCCAGTCAGGATCAAACCGCTCCTCCTTGGAGGCTCGGCGGCCCCGCGGTGAAGTTTTCTCAACATTTCGCTTCGGCAGCAGCCCAAATTATTCATCAAAAGTGAGCAGGACAAGAGGAACATACAGAATATTTAGTAATTGTTAAAAATAGATGCGACGCTGCCCGAGAAAATGGTCGCAAACAACATAAATCATGCATCCGGCATTGACACCTTTGACAGACTTTGGACACCCATCGGACAAACTTGGTCAAACTTGGTGCGATCTGAGCGTAACTCTCCAGATTTATGTCTGCTGTACATTGAAATCTCATCAAAATGACTCATGAGGACCATACATAATTCATATGGTGAAGGATCAGTGCTAACGTGTAGCGTGCTAGCAGCAGATTAGCATACGCTTCGTATGAATGAAAAAGACGAAAATATCAACGATTGCCTCGGCGCGTCTACCATTTGGCCTCCTTGACGCTTCTTCTTTGTCTGTAATTGTTTTCTCAAGCCTCGGGGGGTCAGGGGTGGGGGGTGGGGGGT